TGATAAATGCAAGCTTTTGATGCAAATAGGCACCGGTGGGGGAATTCGTAATGGCTGCCAATTATATCAAATGTTCTATCGTGGTTTCGAATTGATTCTAGGAGCAGATTGCCAAACATATATCAGTTTCCTGGAATTATTGTAGTGATATTTTCATGGCTGCGACAACAGTACCTCGTTTATCTTTCTTCCCGGTTCCATTTCTTTGTTTCCATCCTCGGGTGTCTATCTTTCCCCTCTTAATGTGGAAGTCCTTATGTCCGTCCATGGCCTTTCTACTCCCCATGCTACTAGGCAGATTCTGTCTCGCGGTCGTGATGCTCCCTCTGCATGGGTTTTCTTCCTGAGGCGGAAGGCAACATTTACGTCGGTCACGTGTTCTGAGATCGCTGGTGGAAGAGAAAACGTCCTATCTCAGAAATGGTTTGCGCATAAGTTCATGCACAACTTCGCCGCACTACTGAACAATAGCTGGGCACAATCATTGCAGGATTGTGCAATGCCTAGTCTGTAAGAAGTAAATGCATTGGTTTACGTATGCTATCACTTCGTGAATGCAACTGCAACATTGCATTGTTCCTTTGGGTATCCACCGGCAGCTGCTATACACACCGCGAACCCACTCGCCAGAGTATTTTCGGCATGTGCTTTGCTTGACAAGTATGCATGCTCAGCACCTAACTCGGTCTTTTATGTTCATGTTACGGTTAACAACATACACAATGCAGTTTTGCGAATCAGCACATAGCCAAAGCATCGCATAATAACACAACAATTCTGTTGAACCAGTGCCCGATGCACTGTGATTCCACGATCGCGTGTAATTCACGAACTCCATGGAACAAGCAAACCAACACACAAGGCGGACTCGGATTCGGTCTCTCTCCATGACTCGGTTCATTCTCTCGCTTTGTTCACTCACTGGCTGCGTCTGAAAACAGAAACAAAGCCCTGCTGCCATCATCGACACTACTGTCGCATCCAGATTGCATGCAAGCACGCTCTTCTGGTGGAGCGCCGATGTCAATCTGGGTCTGTTATCACAATAACCGTACGTCCAGGCCGCTGAACACCGGTTTCATTTGGCACCGGATCGGCTGGTATGTCGGTCAAAGCGTAGGCAGCCCCAGGCTGTCAACAAGATCTCGCGTAGCTGCCAACCCGAATCGGCGTCCGCCGGACACTGGTACAAAAACACGAATGGGCTGCAAAGAGGCAATCTAACGAAGGCAGACACTGACGGTGTACAGAAAACTGCGATCACGAAATTTCTTACGTAAAGTGAAGTGAATTGACATCCGTTTTGTATTGACTGTGAATTGTTCGAATGAGTGGCCGAGCGTTCCGCTGTTCTTTCTGAGCAATTCTTCGCTTGTTTTCTCGGAAGCTTCGACATGCCTTCTTTGATCAGCACGGAAATGCATTTGGCAAATCTCAGCGCGATGCGAGCAGATGCGCGCGGCAGCTACAAGAAAACCAGAGCGAGGAGATTGCTTCAAGGTGATGCGGATCCCCGGAGTCCCACGCCCGGAGGCAGGTTTGCCGCATATCTGACAGCGAACATTCAGCTCTGTTCCGGTTAAAAATCAGCTGGAAAAAACAGCCTCAGTGGCAGTTCAGCTAGAGCCGACTGACTGCCCACGGTTCTCCGATCCTTGGGTTGGTCGGCGCACTGGCAGCTGTAGCGAAGCAAGCTAAGCAATGTTGATGGGCTCTACATGCCGCGTGATATCACACTGCATCGGAATACCACCGCAACAAAACGGCAAGGCAAGCAGCGAGATACATCCTGAAGCTCTAAACCCGGCAGCGCTGGATTTACAAACATGCTCCATCATGTAACGCATGGGCTACCGGCTGGCAGCGTGTGAAACCATGAGGAAATACTGACAGACCCACTGGAGCGCGTGAACCGACGCAGGCACGCGATTTCACTCTTGCGTAACCATCACATCCTAGTGTCTAAGAGACCACAAGCATCGTAATGCTTCTGGCCTTTCGCTAGGTGAATCGAGAAAAATCACGAAAGTTGAAAGGTCTAAGATCGGCTCAACGTGGAGACGTTGAACCAAGCACACTGATGCCAGCAATCAGGTGTTTACTCATGCCATTGAGTGGCTTGCAGGTCATCGCTACTCGTGTGATCGTCGCACGGAATAAAGCGGATGCATGGGTTGTCTCGCCACCCTCGTATCGGCGATCGCACATGGGCGCTTTGCGAGCGGAAAGCAAGCAAATGACTCTCAAGCCGGAACTAAAACCGCAGCGGTGTCCGTTTCCGAGCGACCGCAGTGTGCGCCTTTCACCTAAGACCATCCGAAATACCAGGTTGTATTCAGCATGCCAGCTCTCGTCGTCGCCATCTCGTGAGCCCATTCTACAGCGCGAGGAACGCTGGACGGGATAGCCCCCGCTCGTAACTCCGGGCCGAAACCGAGATGAACGAGTCTCATTCGGCCTGAGGAAAGCTGCATCTCATGCGCCGCCGCCGGCCGAGCTCTTTCAGGTACTCGTTACGAGGCTTAGAATGCTGGCCCGCAAGTCTGCTTAATCCTGCTTGGGTTAAGACGACCCTACTCCAGCCCACAAGCTGCTGGCGTGCGTCTCAAAAAACCCGACTCCGAGCAACACAGAACATCTTTGAGCTGACTGATCACGACTCAAGAAGATATCGGTGCATTCCCGAATCGATTCCGATGAAGTCAAATCCTGCGGTCAGCCGTCAGGGATAAAGTCGTTCTACGGGCTTGTTTGATAGCAAAACCTTTGCATGTGACTGTGTTTTAGTCGATCTACGTGTACGTCATCAGACCCTCAGTGTATGCCATTGCAACTCATCAAGTATTCGTTGAAACCAGACACGACTTTGGCTCACAGCGAGAAATCAGGGGAATCCATTCCACTCGTGTCTCAGCAATGCTCATTTGATTCCTGAGTCAGTTCGGACTCTTCCTGGCGTCAAGCACAAGCATGATGGCCCGCCGACGGATCTAGAGGGTGGGACGAGGCCATGGCCCTCTCTTTGGCCCCCATAAGATTTTGGTACCTCTTCGGGTCATCAAAATCTCAAAGTGGAAGGGCACCAAAATATCCATTTTGGAGCCGCATGTCCTTTAGTTCTTTATTTTCAAAGTGCACCAAATGCCACGGGCACCACAAAGGGCTCCAAATATTGATTTTCAAGAGCACCAAATTCCAATAGTACCAGGATTCCAGCATTCCGTGCCGTCTATCTTAACAGAATCCCGGATGCTCTCATTCGCCCGAAGAAGCACCAAAACCTTTGCTTCGGGGCACCACAACTTTTATTTTCAACAGGCCCTTAATCAAGACAGGGCGTTATAGAGGCTCAGTACATCATTTTAAAAGGGAGCCTAAATCCAGGGGCACCCCAGTTTGTGCGCCCTTTTACTCAGCTCGTATTTTGGATCAGCCCGTTCTGCGAAGGGGTACCCAAAACCTGCGTTTCGGGGGATCTCAACCTTCACTTTTTAAAGAGGCGCCCAAATCGGAGGGGCACCTCACAGTCCCCAAAAGCGTTCTTTTTAACAGACAACAAATTTCAGGGTGCGTCGCGATGCCCGTGTTTCTGCATTGATGAAGTCCTGTAAAGCCCCATTGAGTGAGAACTACCAAAATCCTCATTTCGAGACACCATGACAGTTGTTTCCTAGAGGCACAAAACCTAACCGGCCTCTTGAAAGGGCCCAAGAATCCTCATTCTAAGGAGCTACCAGGAGCAAGGCTTTACCTCTTTAAACTTTCACTCTGGTGAAATCCTGAATCGACCCCTTCCGCAAAGAGGCACCAAAAGTTTCGAATTCAGGGCATCGTAACCTTTATTTTCTACAGGCATCTAATTCCAGGGATACCGCAAAAGGTCCACAAAACCTTCATTTTAAAGTGACGGAAAATTCCTGGAAACACCACTAATGGCCCTAGATATGCCTTTCACGAGCAACTAAATGCGAGCGGCACTAATATCAGAAACACGTTACTTTCTCCACAGGTGTTTATGTCCGGAGGGGTCCAAAGAGACCCTCGGGACCGCGATCAACCGTCCGATTGGAGCATCTAAAGGGCAGGCTGGAAGTCATATAAATAGAGCCCAGCCCGCAGCTTGGATCCTGAAGTGTCAAAAAATCACATGTCAGTCAGAGGACCACTTCCACCGATCCATGGTCCATGAGACAGGGAGGCTACCTCCATTTCACTCAGCTGACTGAGTCCACCAATGCTGAATAATCTGTTCTGTGCCGGTCTGACCACTGAGAGGCTTTTCTGAGCAGCTGCAGCGTTATGAATTCGCGGTGATCAACGTGCTAATCAGCCCCGGGCACCAACGTGAATATCGTACAGGTCAAACCTTCGGACCGGGACACCTTTTGCACGCAAACCATTTGATGTCATAAAACGTTCGAAAGTACCACTTTCTGGTCTATGGTCTTCTCTCCCGCCCATTGACCGCCGCCAGATGTTAGCTACGAGGCCGAGGCCACGCTGCCCATGGAGACTGCTACGCCAGGTGTCGGTGTTCGTTCTCCTTGACAGGGAGCGCACGTGCTCAAAACTATTGCATATAATGTTTCACTGAAATTTCGATGCAACTTGTTGACCCTGCTTTGATCTATGCGGGCTTTTCATCTATGGGCTGCTCAGTATTTTTGTAAAGCCCCAAAGGAACCCTGCAACGTCCATGAATGTTGCCGCGTTGAGAAAAGGCTAAATGAAGCAATGGGAGCAAATAACGCCCGCATCTCACTCAACTCAGTCCTGTCATTTTATTCCTGTTCAATTTCATACTATTTGTTTCTTAAAGCATACTTAATTGCATCTTCTCATAGCTTATGTCTTCTCATTGAGTCAGAGAAGTTCAGCATGAAAAGGAGAAGAAAACTGTCCGCTCGAAAAGTGGGCTTAATCTGGCGGTTCATTCCGGCAGAAGATGGGTCACTAATTGCGAAATAAGAATCTGACAACGAAGTCTCCGAAATCCGTGGACTTTTGTGGGTGGGGATGAGGCACGAAATCCCAGGGGACACCACAGTGAAGTGCGGCCCTTCCCTTGTCATAATGCTGGATTCACCCCTGTGCTGGCCTGGATAGCATTTCTGCCGCGGTGATGCGACCGCAGCCACCTGCGCGAGCGGTGTGCGCGCGTGTGCGTCGATGGTGCTCATCCGCCTGCAGGTACGTATTCTATGACGCTTTGACATCGGACGGTTACAGCCGTCAGCCGCGTGGATGCCCAATCCCGTCACAACACGCCAGGAGGCAGAGCGAGCTGTCGGAAAGCGCCAGGTTTGCAATGGTAGTCACTGACGCTCACTGTTTATGTGCTGATTACAGAGAATGTCCGGCATTTGAAAATAATGAATCAAGTCGGACATAATGCAATAAGCCCACTTATAATTATGGTGGACGCAGTCCTGACCCACCGTTATCCAGTCTTCTCCACCCCCAAACCCTGAAAGAATCATTGCTTTTCGAAACGGCTCTATTTCAAATACCCTAACCACACGTGCTTCGTGGCTGGAGCTTGCACAGCCTGCTCAACATTGTTTGAGAGCCAGTTCAAATCGACTTTATTTGGAAATCGTGCTCACGGACGCCAGATCTGAACAGCTGGACGATAATATTCTTCCTGGCCTTCAACGCATCACGTGGCCTGTGCGGTGGCAGGATTTGAATGGCGTTGCTATGACGTCATGCATGCTTGAATTGCCTAGAAACAGTCTGCACGAAAAAGTCTCCGTATCTTCGCGGGCACGTGGCTCAGAAACTAGAATTTTAGGTTTAAAGGGTATGTTTCACATTTGAAGATGTCGAAGCAAACATGAGATATGACGAAAAAAGCTCACGTGAAGCTATTGGTATACTTTTCAAGTGGAAAAGACTGACCTAGACAGCACCATCCTCCGCTTAGTAAATACGCTCCTCAATGCGTCATGGCTTGATTACGTCATTGTATCCCGCACCACATTGATAATGAGCCAATCGACGGCCGTTATATCCAGATATCGCGCTCACGACCGCCAGACATAAACGCCTCGACACTTATATTTCTCTTGACCTTCATCACCGGGGTGATTATGGGATGGCAGGATTTGAATGACGTTAGTATGACGTCATGAATACCAAGGTGAATTTGTACCCACTCTCCGATATGCCTTCCTTCATTTTCGTGGGCGTGTATTTCAAAAAGTAGAGGGGAAAATAAAGAGAAAGGTGTTAAAGGTGTTAAAAAGAAAATAATAGAAATTAAAAATTATATAATAAATTAATTATATATAATTATATATTTATATATCATTATTATATATAATTATATATATATAATTAATACATTAATAGAATAGAAGAAAATAAAGGTGTTAAAAAGAAAATAATTGTGAACAGCCCCGAAAGGTGTTCAAGATGGCTATTTCAGTTTAAAACCCCATATAAATGTGGAACGTTCCCTTTTAGATGGGCAGGGTTGTGAACTGCACGAGATGAGCTTCCAAAGGGCCATTGCAGCTCAAAACTCCATACGAATGTGGGACACTCCCTTTAAAGCAATGCAAATTCGGCTGGCGTGCTTTGCTGTTGCGACTGCGCGCAAAGTTGTGGTATGTAGGTGATATGACTGTGTGACAAAAGCGGCACCGGCCGCACGAACTTACCTTAAAATAAGCGCAAGTTTAACAATTCTGCATACGAACAACTTTGCTCTCGCAGCTTGGTCACGCCAAACTTTCTTAGCATTGTGAATGGGAATAATTCCTTTAAGTTTAACAAGTCTGCATAGGACCAACTTCGATTTCTCAGCCTGCCCACGCCAAACTTTTGTAGTGTTGCGAATGGGAATAATCCCCTCTGCACTTCTGCGAACAGAGGCAGCCCCCATTGGCCCTTCCAAACCGACAGCTGGTTCGAGTGCTTTGCGCAGGTAGCCACCCATACCGCAACTTGACGACACGTGTCGGGGTACTTCCATGCTCTCAAAGCTCGCAGGTCACCATCGCAATTGTCATTGGCCGAGACGCTGTTGCGGTCCTTGAATTCAACAAAACTATGGAAAATGTTGCACGCGGTGTGATAGGCGCAACAAAGTACTTACCACTTATCAGCGGTAAAACGGCTACCAGCAAAGGAATATGAATCTCCCTTTACGTAGGCATGGACAGATCACACGGGAGCAAAAGTAAGCAGTAAGAGAGCAGTTGTCTGTGACGCCAGCGACCAGTTTTCCTGACTGCCCAGCTAGTCATCTCTAAAGGCATATGAAACTAATGAACGTGTCGAGACTGAGGATGGAAAAAAATTGTCTATCAACATGGGCCTCTTTGGTTATTTGGTTATTCGGATTAGAGATCCTTTCGATCAGAAATGATCAGTTCAGAGCTGTGGCATGAAGAAGAATGGATAACGGCAGGGCAGAACGACATGCGCCTGGGAGGGGGGGAGGGGCAATTAGCGAGCCTTAGCCCGCGCAGGGACCCCTCTGCGGGTTATACGCCGGGCGCAAGGTCAGAGTCCCTTCCAGGGGCCTCCGGGCCCACTCGCAGCTGACGCATGCAGCTTGCCTTGGACAAGCGGGACGTCGCGAGGATGCATGATAAAGCAAGAAAGAGGGCAAGAGGGTCGGATGACACTGGCATGCATGATTCTATTCAAACCATACAACACTACCACATGTCTACATCGCTCTATTTTCAGCTCATCGGCTAGATCTAACTCGGGCGTGTGGTGCTGCACCACCATGCGCTGGCCGACACATAGGCCGTGGCGCACAGGCCGGAGCTCCATGCGCGGGCCACCGGACACTGCCGTGACCGGTCAGGTCGTCGGTCGGCGCCAGCTGACTAAGGACGAATCAGAGCCCGGTAGAAGTCTCCGGACCGGTCCACAGCAACCTGTAAACACGGCTGGGATTAGTGGAGTGGACAACCCGCGGACGCGGCTAGGATCAGTGGAGTGGATAGCCTGCACGACTGCCACAGTCTGCGAACACGGCAAGGATCAGTGGAGTGGGCAGCCTGCAGGACTGCCACAGTTTGCGAACACGGCTAGGATCCGTGGAGTGGACAGCCTGCAGGACTGCCACAGCCTGCGGACACAGCTAGGATCCGTGGAGTGGACAGCCTGCAGGACTGCCACAGCCTGCGGACACAGCTAGGATCCGTGGAGTGGACAGCCTGCAGGACTGCCACAGCCTGCGGACACAGCTAGGATCCGTGGAGTGGACAGCCTGCAGGACTGCCACAGTTTGCGAACACGGCTAGGATCCGTGGAGTGGACAGCCTGCAGGACTGCCACAGTTTGCGAACACGGCTAGGATCCGTGGAGTGGACAGCCTGCAGGACTGCCACAGTTTGCGAACACGGCTAGGATCCGTGGAGTGGACAGCCTGTAGGACTGCCACAGTTTGCGAACACGGCTAGGATCCGTGGAGTGGACAGCCTGCAGGACTGCCACAGCCTGCGGACACAGCTAGGATCCGTGGAGTGGACAGCCTGCAGGACTGCCACAGCCTGCGGACACAGCTAGGATCCGTGGAGTGGACAGCCTGCAGGACTGCCACAGCCTGCGGACACAGCTAGGATCCGTGGAGTGGACAGCCTGCAGGACTGCCACAGCCTGCGGACACAGCTAGGATCCGTGGAGTGGACAGCCTGCAGGACTGCCACAGCCTGCGGACACAGCTAGGATCCGTGGAGTGGACAGCCTGCAGGACTGCCACAGCCTGCGGACACAGCTAGGATCCGTGGAGTGGACAGCCTGCAGGACTGCCACAGCCTGCGGACACAGCTAGGATCCGTGGAGTGGACAGCCTGCAGGACTGTCAGCAGCACGCTGACTGTAGGAATGCCGCACTTCAGAGCGCGTGCGTGATGTATCGCAGTGATGCAAGATTTCTCATCAGATAAGAGATTTCATGCTGGAGATTTCTCATCGGAGTAGGAAGACAGGATGCAGCCAAACTGTTGAGTTTGAAAACATCCAGCGTACACAACGTTGCGGTGTCATTTGTCTTAGGAACAACTTTGGCAAAACAAAGTGCTGCCCGCATCTCTTGTTTTCAGCGTTTGCCTTCTCACAGACATCGGGCTTCGCTACATAAATACCACGGTGGATAGGTTGCGGTGGTATTTCATTTCTTCTCTCAGATGTGCAAGAACTAAAATTAAGGCTAGGTATTACCAAATTCAGTGATCAAACAAGCACGAGCCCACTGTCCGCGAACAGGGCGTGTTCGTGTTCGTCTGACCGACCGGTGGCGAAGTGACAGGTTCAAGAACTTCCGCGAGCACCGGACGATGTTTACGGCTGGCTGTAGACCAACGTCGTTTCGTCTGAGGGCCTCATGCATACTGACCCTCAAACCCTGAGGGTCCCCAGCCGCCATAGAGCGCGTGGAGAACCGGCCATCACACTGAACGACGAATCACCGGCGGCCCTCGCCGCTTTGCGCGTTGGTATGATCACATGTTCCTATGAAAACTACTTCATCCAGCCATTAATTGGGGCGCTCGTACAAAGAACACTTAACGGAGTGCCTGGGCATTGGTATTCCGCCCTCATCCGCAGTATTTCGCGACATCCCACGGGTAGTCTCGCGCTAAAAATGAGCGTAACGCTGCAGTTTTGCCAAGGTGGTCAGCTTCATAGTGTGATTCCGCCATAAACACCCACCCGTCGGCCTCCTACTCGTGACGTCACTGGGGCGATCCCTGCCCGACTGACAAAACAGGCGCCGACGGAAGGCAGCGGTAGCAATTATGTCACATTAGCGCCGCTTTCATTGGATTCGACGGGCTCGATCTCCCCAGGGGTGCGCTGATTGGTCCTGGGCGGGTGGGGAACGATCTCCGTGGAGATCCGGGCGGCAGCTGACGCGTCGCTGCAGTCGATACCGCCGAAAAACCGGAGCTGTCGCTGAAAAGGGCCCCTTACAAACACTTAGAATATATATTTATGAAAAGATTGGCTGAGAGAAGACAGATGCTTGGAGGGGCCGACATGTGTAGGCAGGGACATATTTAGAGAGGGTCGATATATGTTAAAATGGAAACACTGCAAACAAGAAGGTGCACAATACAGGTTTAGCAACAACGCGACACCTACCAGACATGTTATCATAAGTTCTGAATTACTTCCGGATCGATATTGTGTCTTCAAACACGCAATCAACTTCTTTGGCTGCGAGCAACATCTCTTATACTGACTATGACGGGCGGCAGGAGAGCGGTCACCAGGTTTGAGGAGAAGCCCCCAGTTCTGAACTTTGACAAGATAGAGGTATAACTGAGGGGAAAAAACCGTTTGGAACATCCTGTGGGTAGGCCTATCCATTTCTGCCGATTCAGCCTTCCCTTTATTTCACGGCATTATGTTCCTGGCCGCACTCTTTCCACGTGGCCCGTTGCCAAAAGATCTTACTTTCGTCGGCACAGGCTGATTGTCCCTCCTCACCCACACCTAACCTGCGTATGTAAGATCTACTAACAACTTCATAAGTGGCAGCACTGCGAAATTTTCTGAAGGCTGATACGCCTAGCATATGCGTGGTTCATCCGTTGCCATCCTTTCCGAAAACTGCAGTTCACTTGTTCAAAAAGTAACAATTGACGTCAAGTCGCAATGCTGAACGACTTTCACGACAAGAATAGGCATTTCTGTTAAAAGCTTCATATATTGGCATGCTTTAAATGATAAGTAAAAATATAAAAAACAGACACTTTAAATAACTCAATGGCCATTTCTAGGTCAAATGAGGCCGTTAGCCCCTGACAATCTTGCTTGACCCTTGATCAAACCCAAGGTATGTTTAGCGCCAGTCTGATTCGGAACGTGATTGAGTGGTCAGTTGGCGAGAAAACTTTGTCATAAACTCTGAAAAGTATCACTGTTCGGCTGCGTTCTCAAGACAATCTGACCAAGTGTTTTGTACGGTCCGAAGGAGTCGAAACGGACTACTAAACGGACCTATTTGATACAAGACTGCCCACATTTGCCTTTGGCAGCTCTGGCTCAATCTGGGATTAAGTGGCCTGGGATGCATGTTCCCTCTACCCACAAATCAGTAAGCATCACCCGCCTGTTGTGTTCATCCGATACGATATTTTTCATAACGGTCATTTAGCACTACATGTGTATCCACACCTTGCATTCCAACCACGTTTTTTCCAATGACGATGCATGATTTGGCTGGCTTGATATGTACATTACAAGGTGCCCTCCATGCATCGTGAAAGCGCAAACACATTTCTTTTGAAATCAGTAGTTCTATTATGCAAATGTAACGGTTGATTTGCACAAATCTGGTGCATGTGCGTCGTGATCAATTTCGATACGGCGAGTAGGAGATGTGATATAAAGCGTTCAAGATTAAAATTATTTAAGTTGTTAAGTGCATTTGCGAGGAGCATTAAGCGTACAGATGAAACAGTATTAATACCCTTATGTCTCGTAGAATGCACAGGAGAATGGAGAGGTAGATGTGATATCTCTGCTACATGCCTTTATTGAAACGAATATCACCATCAAATTCAAGATTGCCTGCCGATCCCACTCGATTTTCTTTTCTGGCAACGAGCCACGGTTTCTGCAGATCACCAACATTCAGGGATTAAGCAATGAGCAATTCGTAGTCATTTTAATGATATAGTGCACATCCAACTTATAATTTAAGTATCCGAAAGTACCTGTACATGCAAACGAACACAAGTTAACACGCACCACGCAGAAGACATCCACACACGCAGGCGATTTCAAGAAAACAAGTTCAACTAAACATGCATCACGCATCACGCATCACGTACACATGCAAACGATTTCAATTGAACAAGCATTTAAACGATGTTTGTTTGATGTCGCATATATATATATATATATATATATATATATATATATATATATATATATATATATGTCGCATATTCGCATAACATAAACACGGTCGTTTCAACAAACCTGCGAATCTTTACAATTTTACGAATCTTTACGATCTAAACAGGCATCGTTTGCATATATAAGTGACGCACGATGCCCGTTTACATAACATTGGTCTCTTCAAACCACTTGCGTGTCTGATTGTGTTATGTGTGATGCTTGTCAAGTTATTTTTTTTTTGCATGTACACGTATTTTTCTCGTATTTCAATCTATGCATGCGCAATGTATCATGGAAATGACTGGCAAATGCTCCTTGTTTAATCCCCAAAATGTTGGTGACCTGTAAAAACTGTGGCTTCCTGTTAAAAGAACCTGAAAAATCGAGTAAAAACGGCATGCAATTTTGAAATTAGCAGCAATACTTGTTTCGTTAAAGTCATTTAGCCGAAATATCACATATATCTTTCCATTTTCCTGTGAATTCTATGAGGAACAAGATTATTGATGCTGGCTCGTTCAGGTTCAAGTTGAGGCTGACTGCCAATTGCAATGCTCCACATATTGTTTGGTCCGATATTCAGTTACGCTAGAGTCGAGTCTGTGCACGAATTCTCTGCGATTTAAGCCAGTGAGTCTGATTCCGACTCTAAATCATCTGTGAAAGAATCAGCTTACTTCAGAAAGAGCTATCGCCATGGCGATCACTACCCCACCATCGCGATGGTATGAAACGCCCAGGGGAAATATAGTCTTGATGGTCTCTGGACATCTCCAGATTCCATTGCCTCTGTTCTGGACCCTTATCATAACGCCAGCTGTTGTGGACAGCATAACACAATCGACACTAAATCCCCCATGAATAACCCATCCGACCATAAATTGAGCCGGCGTCCAACCAAAATACCAGCGGGCTTATAAATAATGCGACTGCGCTGCAGTCAGCGGCCACCTGGCGTCGATTGGCTCGCCAAACACTGCCTGCCAGCATCCGTCCGGGCCAGGGTAAATACTCAGCTTCAGCAACCCCGCCTGGGATAGATCCACCACAAGCGAGATCACCTGTCCCTGTCGCAGAGGAGCAGCCGTACACCTGTACCCGCGGATGGGAGCCGTCGCCTGCCTGCAGCCATCCCAACGAAAACGCACCTGTATCTGCTCGAGCGCGAAGGCGGGGCTGAGCAGGTCTTGTAACGGGTAAGTGTTGTCCTGGCAGACCCGCTCCAGGTACGCCACGGCTCTGTCCAGATCAGCGGCAGCGTAGTTGTGCACCCCTGTCGGAGCAGCGCCGGCACGCTCACCAATTACGGCAAGGCGCGCTGAAGCGGCGGCCTCGCAACCTGTCACGTGGACATGATTGGTGCGGGGCCGATGACAAATGTAAGGTTAGTAGCTTGCAAATTAGCCACCGTTCCATAGGTTGTGCATAAATATGCAATGACGCCAGTCAACAAAGGCCTCCGGTGTTAGCCCCTGTGCGACAAATATGTCGCACACTCGCATAACATGGACACGGTCGTTTCAACAAACCTGTGAATCTTTACGATTTTGCGTATCTTTACGATCGCGATGCTGAAGAAGCAGCGACTGGTCAGATTACCCGCTACGGTGGCGCATTTCCTGATGAGCTGCTGGCCGGTGACCTCCAGCTGAGACTGAGGGTGGACCAGGCCCACCAGTATGTAGCAGCCTCCTGGACGCAGGCACCGCAGTCCGCTGGGAAATACCTGTCGAGGAGAGCACCGTCCAGACATCGGGAACGCTCAGAGCTATCTCATCTGCGTCGGAACGCCTTTGTTTGTGAATGTTCAAAAGGTCTGTTTATTGGATAGGGTTGGCAGGTGTTTTCCGTCTCTGCTGCGATCGCCGCACAATGCGCTATGACTTTCCAGAGTAACTTCCTCAGGAAGGACTACAAAGGGACAACAACAAAGCGCGCCGGGCAAAAACGCAGCCGACTCCGCAAGTTCGCTGCCGGCGCGGCGGAGTTAAGCCGGCGAGGGAGGGAGAGCGGTGAGGTAGGCGCCGCAGCCGCCCGTCACACTGGGGGAGCGCGGGCGGTGGAGTCACCGACGGGAGACCGCTCGAACAAACTGCGGCGATCAGGCAAGTCATATCGGGACGAGGACGCGCTCAAAACAGAGCTCGAACCGGGCTCGGAGCGGAGCCCGAACCGGGCTCGGAGCGGAGCTCGAACCGGGCTCGGAGCGGGGCTCGAACCGGGCTCGGAGCGGAGATCGAACCGGGCTCGGAACAGAGCTCGAACCGGGCTCGGACGGCGAACAGCGAAGAACAGCGCAGGCTAGATGCCAGGGGTACTCCGACTTTCATGAATGCGGTCCGCCGGTGATGGCTGCTAATGATCGTGACACTAAATCAAAATGTTCGCAGTAATGACAGCGGGAGTTTGATTGTCGCGGAAAGACGCACGACGAGACACAAGTGCCCCCTGTAGGTAATCCAAATGTGGACCAGAAGCATGGGTGTAACCACGCATCTGAGGTTGGAGGGACAAGCTGAATTGGAGGGAGCAATCTGGTATCTAGGGAGGTAGCTTGATCTAATAATAACGTTTAACACCCTATGAAGACCACCTGCCCACTCTCTAAGAGGCTACGCCCATGGACAAAAGTATCGAATGTAGAATACCAGTGAGCATAAGGCACGCATACCTTAGGAGTTCCGCATACTTCGATGACGCAGTCGAAGGAATCTGCCATGGGAGGATTCCCGCCTGAAAAAGGATGGCCGCGTCGATAAACACGCTTGTGGTCCGGCCTCTGCGTGGCGTCCGGCGGGCGGCGGTACAGTAGTACAGTTCATCAGAGCCCACTCGAGCTGTGGCGAATGGGAAGGGAGTTCCACACTAATTAGCGTCATATCGCTGGAGCTCTTCGGGTTTCACGCAAGCTGTCATAATTGCCACGGAGACGGGAAGCTTAATTATGGTCACACAATGCGTCGCTAACGGCCCTTGATGGCCAACGAGCACGCTTTATCTACTCTCTGCACCAGCGGTTTCGTGATACGCGACATCCCTATGCACCATATTCCGTGTCTCTCTTCCAACAGTAACTACAAAACAGCAGCAGGCTTACGAAAGCAGAAAGGGTGCGAATGAGCAGAAATTTGCCAATTTTACGTACTATTTTGCAGCGCCTTATTTATGTGTGCAACATTGTTAGCGTCGTACTTAACGGATGCTGCAGATACGTCGGATTTTCATCAGCCTGGCACACAAGTAATATGTGGGAAGACAAAGCTAGGATAATGTGCAAATATTCAATCGATAACGACAAGAATAGGTGAAAAAACACAAAACGTTTGCGGGTCGTGTTCCTTTGTCCGTCTGACACCGGCGGCGTGACCTCACCGGCGTCCTCGTCCAGCTGGCAGGGCTCGAGGGGCCGTGCCCCGAACCTGCCGGCCATGGCGCGCCGCTCGGCCACCGTGTCCGAGCAGAAGACGTGCTCGAAGCGCAGCTCATCCCGCAGCACAGCGCACGCGAACAGACCGAGCAGGCCGGCGCCCTGCGTCAGCGCACCGGGCGGGCGTGTTACGGGCGCGGCGAGATGGGTCACTCTGGGGCGTGTGGCGGGACACGTCAGGACGGATTACGCAGGGACGTGGTGGACGGCAAAAACGGACGCGGCGACGCGTGTTGTTATGGCGGCGGTGCGGGCCATACGGTCGCATGGTGGCGCATGACAGCTATAACTGACACAGAATCGCCGAGACGAGTCACGCACAGCCAAGACAGATACGCGGTGCCGGAGATGCGTCTCACGCTCCGTGAAATGACCGCGCAACAGAGCGCCAACGCCGACCGGCTTCAGGCGGCTGCCCAGCCCAGCGTTCCGCTGCCCAGCTCAGTGTTTCGCTTGCCCAGCCCAGTGTTTGTCTGCCCATCCCATTGTCCCGCAGCCCAGCCCAGTGTTTCGTCGCCCAGCCCATTGTCCCGCAGCCCAGCCCAGTGTTTCGTCCGCCCAGCCCATTGTCCCGCAGCCCAGCCCAGTGTTTCGCCGCCCAGCCATTGTCCCGCAGCCAGTCCAGGTTCCGCTGCCCAGTCCAGTGTTCCGCTGCCAAGCCCAGAGTTCCGCTGCCCAGTCCAGTGTTCCGCTGCCAAGCACAGAGTTCCGCTGCCTAGCCCAGTGTTCCGCGTCCCACCCCAGTGTCCCGCGCTTCTTTGTGCACCTCTCCGCGAAGACGGAGACACTTCAGTCAACAATTTGCATGCGGATTCTCAGCTTGCGTATTTTTTCGTCGCGCACGGCTCGGAGAAGCGACGCGTGCGTCACGGCTGGCGTCCGCCGCGGCGCCGAGCCGGCCCTGCTGGCGGTCCGCGCCACCGCCTGGGGCCGCCCGATATCTAAAGCGAGTGATTTCCCACATGTGGTAGGATTTCCGGCTGCGATGGGACTTCCTGCGGAGGGCAGATCGAACGTGCTGACGGGCCGCCCAGCTGGGGCGGTGGTAAATCACGGCAAAAACAGGCCAGACACGGGTCCGACAGGGCTGCACGAGCACCTAACCCGTGCGAGAAACAACGGCAATCTGGTGAAAGGCTTTGAAGTCCTTTGTTGGACGCAACGAAACAGGTTTTCTCTTTTCTTTTTTAGAACGAATGGAAGGGCAACGCGCTAAGCAGAAGTCAGCGGCGATCAATGTGAAACAAAAATGAAGTAGCGGCCATTGCGCAGGTGGCGACAACTACCACGCTAATGTTAAGCCGCAAAATATGTCAATATACGTATGTTACCACTTCAGCGGTACCGTGCGACAAAACGTAAGACATAGATGTACCGGGAGGGGGACAGGCTTCGGAAATAAACGTCGAAGAAATATTGCATCTATAATATTGAATACCGAATAGAATATAGATGCTCTTGGAAAGAGAAGTTGCTTTACGCTTGCTGTATTTGAGCTATTTTACAGCTCAGTGAAGTGCCACTGAGCTATGGCTGTCGACAAAAAAACAACAAAAATTGGCGAGAAGTGATGCAAGGCGTGAGGGGTTTGCCCCGCTTCGCTTGAAATCAGCTTCTTCGTAATAACCTGTTTACAAATCCGTGTCACTGCCTGCATCTCTAGATAATTTAAAAGCGCATTCAAAAGGGTTTCAGGACGGCATCATGCTGCATTGCTGGCGTGACTTGAAATGAAGTCGAAGGATAAGACAAGCGGGAGTAGAAAAAAGCTTTATAAAAAGGAGGCATTGCCATGCAATGAGGGACCTTTCTGACCCCAAGCAAGACTGGCCCGATACTCTACAACCAACGCACAGCCACGAACCAGCAGCCCCTGCAGAGCGGTCTTTCTGCGCGGGTCGACGGTGGGGACCCGCAGCCCTGCGCTGCCACACAGCGGGTCCCGGAGCGGGTTCAGCCGCCGGTGACTAGGGTGGCGCGCGGGGGCCGACAGCGGCGCGGTCGATGTGTGATGAATCCTCGGGGCCCAGGTGAAGAATGGCCCTCTGACACACCGGTGGCGTCGACATCTGCACAGAACGAGCCTGAAGGGATCCATAACCGATCCGAGGAACGCGCGGCCCCGCAGGCGCGGTCGCCGCCGCCAAGGGTCGGGCGTTTAGACATGGGTGGTGGACCCGTGAGCAATACGCATCTTGTAGAAAAATTGTCACGCATTTCCTCGCAGTTTGATAAAGACCCATCCTATTTGGGAATGCAAACAGCTGAAAAGGTGTAAGTGTGTGTTGACAAGGATATCATCAAAGGCATGCAGCTTGCATATACTTACAGCTCATTAATGATACCGCACTTTGCTGTTAAGCTGCTGGACTTGACTTAATAGGGTATCTCTAAAGCGAATAAGGCATCTGAGGGGAGCGCTGACGACGTTCGAAATTAGCGTTATTTACTTCCTGACGTGTCGTTGACACATTTGAAAGACGATGCAAAGCATGTTTTTAACATCTTCCCTCGGTGCCACGACGACATGGTGGACGTGAGCTGAACGGAGAAACCTTCGGCTGCACCGTCAGCTCGCAGTTGCTACCGAGTCTGAACAGTTGTAATCGCTTGCTGCATTTCAGTTAATGGGTCAGAAGCCAGTGTAGCATGATCTCATGTTAGTCCTGCATGAGACTTTTCCATCTATTCTCCGGCTCCCGCAGAGGAAAGCTCTCAAAAAGGAAATATCTACATTGGCTGTGATTCCAAGGCGCGAAGTAATTCCGACAGAACATGGCGTCAGCCTGATATTGAACAACTGCAGTCTGTGACAAAGCACTTACTACGTTCAGTGAGAACCAGCTGGATCTACCTGACATCTCGTCAATGTGGGCACACCAGCCTTCTGCACTGACCCGCCGGCTAGCTGGGGACCTAAAACCCGAACCCCCAACAGCGCGTCCGTCAACATCGCCCGTCACATCGGATGCATAAACAGACGCGGAACTGACAGGGACAGGGACAGGGACAACGCCCCGTCGGCAGGGACAACGCCTCGTCCGTCATCATCATATCACGAGTTAGCAGAGTACCTAGCATGCGGAGGACACACCGGCTAGGAGGCGCGGCAGCCCAGGTAGCCACTCTCCTTTCCGTTCCGGTCTAGAGGTGTACATGCATGCCGTTTGTGTCCCAAATGGCCTGGCAAGGTGGTGACCCGGGCCCATGTCACAGGAAGGACACGGTGCCGCGAACGAATCACTCCGCTGTTAACATGCAACTGGGTGACGGGTTAAAAGCACCGCGCTTCGGTTGGGGAAGGTGTCATTCTGACCTCCGGAGATCTCACAAATCACGAGAGCTAGAGGCATCTAATTTACCAGGTAAACTGAGCTTTATGTGAACTCACTTGTGTCAAATTCTGAAGTCCCTGTGTTGTGATCTTTGCGTCAAGTAAAGTCGAACAAGGTCAAACTTCAAATCGATGCCAGGAAGTGCGCTCAGATCTCCTCACGTAGCCAACTTTGAGCTAGATAACAGCTGTAAGCAAAATTTCACTGCCGTTCACATCGGGCCAGTGACCTTATCTTAACTAAGGAAAGTAAAAAATGAACTAGCCGTTTGGGATTATTTCGATATTTGAGTTTCTAATCGTTGCCAAGTAATACGCTGGGCGACATGCTCCTGAAATCAAAGGACAGTTCAAGGTCTTTTAAGTCGGTGACCTCCCTTGCTTTCACGAAGTCAGATTACTAAGTCTTTTGAGGCCATTATGATCCAGGAATTCAAAGTGAGCCCCAAAAACTGCTTAAATAAACAAGTTTTTCAACATCAAAACAGGTTCGTTTTGACCTTGATCTAACCTCCATTTCATGCTTGATTCAAGATCAATAGAACAAGTCGTAGTCCTAATGTCAATAGTTAAATTGCTTAAGAACCATCTCAAATTTCTATGACTTTATCAAGCACGAAACAGTCGTATCATATTGGTCATTTTCCTAGGAACTGTATTCGTCGAAGCCATTGCCTGACGCTGACCTGCCATAGGTTATGACCCAAATGACTCGAAAAGACGTATCTAGTCATGATTCTAATATAATTCTGGTAAGTGGATTTGTGGTAGGATTTCCCTGTCGCTGTGGCCAGGGAAATGATGCATGCAATTTGATGCATTCAAATCCCTGTAGGATTTGAATGCATCAAAGAGACGTGACATCGTTACACAACTTGTAACAGGGTACGGCAACATTACAGTGACGGCAAAGTGCTCCAAGATGCGTCCCATCCGTGGTGTCAATGCGAACCTGCCAAAAATAGTGATGCAAGCAGGCAATCAGAGCCGGAGGTATGTCAGTTGAGTCTCCTTTCCAATGCATCGCTCGATGCCAGGAGCAGTCATTGTGCAAAATTGATCCCGTTACCACCCGACTTAACGCCTGAACTACGAAACACTGCGTCTACAAGAACTTGACAAAGGGCTATTCTTGTGCTATGGAAAGAGATTAACCTTCTTGACTCAAAATCCTTGTCCCGCCGCCTGCTCATCGAGTCCAAATAAAAGGAATGTGATTCAGCACAAATGGCGCCATTTCCTGGGGCAGCTACGTCTTCATTTCGCCTCTGTTTGGCCGTCAAGCCCTGGAAGCTGGTGTGAAATGCCATTGCCAGCGCGACACGGCTTCAAAGCCTCAGCCTGACTGGTCATTTTACGCCGCGCCTGTTGCCCGTCAGCTGAGTGAGCGCAATGTCGCGCGCTATTTGCCCGCGAGTCGGCTCCAGCCGTCGCAGCCGATCACAAGCGATCCGCGCTGACAAACGCGCGCCATCGCCCTGTTGCAATATCCATCCCTCCCTCTCGACTGCCGTCGGCTGCGTTATTGGTCCGTACGCAAAGCTCACTTCCAACCAAAAACTACTCGAACTCCCCCTCGAGACGTTTATTGCCTGGCGGGCTCTTACCTGCACTAGCGCCCTAGTTCGAGGCGCCGCCGCCAGGTGGGTCTGCACGGCGCGAGCGGCGCACATGACCGTGGCCAGGGCGCAGTTGGCAGGCGCCGCCAGCGGCGGGTTGGCGGCAAGGCCCGGCGGCAAACGCACGATGTGCGTGCCAGCTCGCAGCAGCAGGTGCGTCGAGTAGCAGCCGTTCAGGCCGCACCCGCTAGACAGGGTAGAGTGACCGTACTGGAACGGATGTGACAGCGAAGGAGCGCGCCGCCAGCATGGCCTCCGTGCCTTGTGGAAGTTGCGAAACTCATCGTTTTACGGAGCTGAGAGCTGCGTTGGCATTGACGTCATGAGTTCACCGTTCAGAAAAGCCCCGCTATTGCACAGCCACATTGAGCGGTGGTTTTGCGGGGGGGGGGGGGTTGGAGCTGCGCATTGGTCACAAGTTGCCTCACATTTTCTCCTCGGGCGAATTGGAGCGGCTGTGAACCGCTCAACACTAGCCGAAGGCGCTGGACCACGAAAGGTGGCCGCAGAGACGGCTGGAGGATCAATTGCCGAGAGATGGCACTAAGTTTCCTCAACTGCACACGCACTGCTTTACCGTTCTTTAAATAAAGTACCAGTGCTACAACCATCAAAGGACAAGCCCGAAATGGGGCGAAACACATGCGGGTGGTAGGATGCGTGTGGTACTAAACGGTTGGCGTTGCCACTGAAAGTTGCGTGAAATGACGCTTCTAATGCAATGCGCCGTTTTCAGATTTCCTCACAGACAAGATACAGGATCCAGAGCGAGGCTGACGCCGAAAAAGAACTCGCGGCTATCATCTAATTTCTCAAATCGTTTGCGTGAAAATCCGTGGAAGTTTCGCTATATCAGCCATCATACACCCCTTGTGGACGTCATGCTATTGCGTCAGCACACGCACATGATTCGGCCCTGTAAAGGGCTATCAGGTACATACCTTCATGAGCGCCCTGCACTTCTGACTGAGGCCGGTGGCGCAGCGGTCGCAGCTGCCACAGACGTCGCAGATGGCGAAGGTGACCAGGTGGCCTGGCTCCACGCCGGGCCGTCGACTGATCTCCACCAGACCGACGCCCTCGTGACCCAGAATGCTGCAACGAGTGTCAGCCACTCAGTGGCGGAGGGGTAGCCCGGCGGATCGTGTCCATTGGATGCTGCGTTCATGTAAAAGCAATTGCAAAGAGCATGTTTCTCCTGTTGTTTCTGGTGTCGAGCCTTTGCTGATATCATTTTCCTATTCTGTGACCCGTCATTCAGAGCATCCCATGTCATTCTTCAGAATTCCGCCTGTTTCTAAAGAAGCTATTTGTCATTTACCACGACAAATGGAGACCAATTTAAGCGACCAACTGTCTAGGAATAATGGATACTTCCAGTTGGAAGGGGAGGGGGCTCCCCAACTTTGATAAAGAGTGGATAAAATTCGGGAGATACCCGTTTGTTGGTGTATTTTCGAGGTATGTTAGGTTGTTTTCAACTTTTACACCCCGCTCGCTCACACTCTTCTGTTCTATTTATCAGCCAATTATTCACCCGGCCAATTATTGTCAACTGCGCCACTGCCACTACTTAACATGGCAATACATGTGAGCAGTTGCACTAATACCGCACATTAAGTGCAAAAAATTAAAACTACAAATGGTCTCAGAACAGGTACCGCAAAGTATGGGGCAGCGTTGTTCACTTAAGCAATACCATCCAATAGATTGCGTAATTATAAAGCAAAGCATAGAAATGCACAAATATGACACCAATAAACGGTCATAACAAATACTAACGGTTAAACAACCCATGCAGCAAGCATTTGTGGCAAAAAAATAGCATGTATCGTTTTCTTTTACTTTTGCCATCCTGCTTCCAAGGATTCTGGCTAATATCTACTTGATGGAGGCCGAACATAAGGAAAAAAGGCCCTAAGAGGAAGTAATTGATCTGCCACTGAGGCACGAGGTTGGAGGGACAAGCGAGTTTTCATATCAGCTACTTAAAATGCACCGATAAAATTATTAAGCAGTGATAGTGACGGCTTTTTCTGTTATTACTGCATTCACTCATTTGAGCCAACAATTGCAAGCTTCATATTTTGTTTCATACATTCCCGGCGTCCGACTCATAGACATTACTTCTGCCTTCGGGTCGCTTCCGCGGCATCAGATTCAGAAAACCCACTGATCGCGCGTTCGGGGTCAGCAGTATTGACCATTCGGCAACCCTTGGTTGGCTAGACCTTGGTGGGAGGGCGGAGGGGCGGGGCGGAAATGAGCCGATTCGCCGGCCGGCAGCGTCCAGCGACTACCGTCCTGCTGACCCGACCCACCCGCGCCAAATCTCGGACAATTAGGAGCGGACGGTGAGCTGCGGACAATCAGCGCCGGCGGCCGCACGACGCCGTCCGCCGGCCGCCATCAGCGGCAGACCTAGCCCAATATCACCAGCGGCAGACCCAGCCCAATATCACCAGCGGCAGACCCAGCCCAATATCACCAGCGGCAAACCCAGCCCACTATCACCAGCGGCAGTCCCAGCCCACTATCATCAGCGGCAGACCCAGCCCACTATCACCAGCGGCAGACCCAGCCCAATACCACCAGCGGCAGACCCAGCCCACTATCACCAGCGGCAGTCTCAGCCCACTATCACCAGCGGCAGACCCAGCCCACTATCACCAGCGGCAGACCCAGCCCACTATCACCAGCGGCAGACCCAGCCCACTATCATCAGCGGCAGACCCAGCCCACCATCATTAGCGGCAGACGCAGCCCAATGTCATCAGCGGCAGACCCAGCCCACTATCACCAGCGGCAGACTCAGCCCATCATCATCAGCGGCAGACCCAGCCCACTATCACCAGCGGCAGTCCCAGCCCACTATCATCAGCGGCAGACCCAGCCCATCATCATCAGCGGCAGACCCAGCCCACTATCACCAGCGGCAGACCCAGCCCATCATCACCAGCGGCAGACCCAGCCCATCATCATCAGCGGCAGACCCAGCCCACTATCATCAGCGGCAGACGCATCCCATCATCATCAGCGGCAGACCCAGCCCACTATCATCAGCGGCAGACCCAGCCCATCATCATCAGCGGCAGACCCAGCCCATCATCACCAGCGGCAGACCCAGCCCGCTATCATCAAGGTAGCTCACTACGCCGGCCGCACATCACACGCGTGACGCATATTTGATCAACCTTATTCAACCTTCCCCTCCCTATTTTTCAACCCTCTCTCCCTCCTCCCTTCCCCTACGCTCTGAATGTGCCGGGTGAGACCCCCAACACCCGTGGTTACGCTGGGCTGTGCTACGTTCCAAAAAAGGAATGGCCCCTTGTCACCTACTTGGGCTAGAGATGCGAAACAAATAGCTGATGGCTTCCTCGTTATGACTGGAACCCAACGGTATCCGGCTGAACGGTTTAAGTTTCTTTTTAATCTTAGCACGATTTGTAACTGCACCCGAACGTAATGTTGCGCTGTCCAAACCTGCGTTTGTACTCTCCAGCTTTACTTCGGTTGCGCTCCAACCCCCCCTCCCCCCCCCCCCCTCTTCACAGCGCGTTGTAACCCGCGGACAGCGCCACAGTGGCAGCCGTAGCACACTGTGATCCACGGACAACGCCTCAGTGGCAGCCGTAGCACACTGTGACCCATGCACAGCACTACAGTGGCAGCCATGGCACACTGTGATCCACGGACAGCGCCACAGTGGCAGCCGCAGCGCGCGTTGGGCTCTTTTCAAACATAAACGTTCACCTGGCTTCTGAGTTCACAATCGTTATTTTTTACAGCGTAAAGATTTGTCTTGATAGCGATAACGAACAGAGCTCTCAGCTTCTTGACAAGGGTAAGGGATATAAAGGCAGGGACGACTTGCATCGCCTCCCCTACTCCTGGCACACAAGTAATAGCATCGCCGCTGAAAGGCAAACTATCAGTCACTCGATATAGACATTTTAAAAGAGTGCGCCAGCAAAGTGAAACCTTGTCTACTTCTTATGACGTCTTCCACCTGAGTCTGAGCAGCATAAGAAAGACCCGCGTTGTCTGAAAACTATCGCCAAAAGGTTGCTGCTGGTGTCACATTAATTTCTTGAACATCGGTCAAAAACTTCTCGGCATCTTGAATAAGGCAGTGACTTGCGTTGTCCCAGAGCAGAAGTTAGCCAGGATCTATTCGTTTCACTCACACATGATTTGCATGCGTAATTTCAAGCGCACCCCTCGAGATTGCTTAAATCACTCTCCACGAAGACATAAAACCGAACTGCACAAAACCACGAATTTCCAGAGAAATCTCTCATCTGATGACGTCGGAGCCTACGGTGGGACGCCGCAGCGGCAGGGGCAGCGAAGGGACCCGCCCTAGGCCGTGGGCGAGGCCCGAACAAGCAGCGGGATGGGATCGACACGGGAAAAGAGCGTGGGCTCGACACAGGAACACCGCGTGGACTCGACGCAGGAAGACCGCGTGGGCTCGACAAGAAAAGAGAACGTGAGCTCGACACGGGAAGATGACGTGGGCTCGACAAGAAAAGGGAGCGTGGACTGGACGCGAGGAGAGAGCGTGGGATTGACGCGGAGAGGGAGCGTAGCCTCGACAGGGGAAGAGAGAGCGGGCTCGGCGCTGACACGAGGCTCTTACAAGAGCGACAGCTCGACACGGGGCAGTCACGAGTGCCAGGCCGCTGACACGAGACACTGGCGCGCTCGCAGCTCTGGGTCGCGGCGAGATCGCGGCTCCACCCAGGGCTGGGGGTCCGCCCTGACACTCACGAAGGCGTGGGCTCGGTGCGCACGCCGCGGACGGTGTGCACGTCCGAGCCGCACACCGTGGCCGCCACGATGCGGACCAGCACCTCTCGCGGCGCCGGCGCCGGCAACGGTAGCGCCTGGAGCCGCAGGCCGGCCGCCGGGCCGTCGAACACGGCCGCCAGCGCCGCCGGTCGCGCTTCGTCCGTCATCTCGGCTTGCAGCGGCAGCAGCAGCGGGCTTGCAGCAGCAGCAGCAGGGCTGAGAGGTCCGGAGCGGACCGGCGCACCGGGCTGGCGAGTGGTCGCCGACTCTGACGGGGTCGGGGGGGGGGGACGTACGCAGTTCCAGACTGGGTCTGATGTCGCCGCGGCACGAATCTTAGCACGTGGAACCAGAGCTGCCGTTGTCGAGCCCGGGAGACCCGGTGCTCGGTTCAGAGCCGCGGGGGGCCAGCCAGTCTCGCAGATGGAGTTTGGCTGGTGCCGCAGTCTATGTTTGTGTGCTCGGAGTGTCGGCAGTGTAGTGGTTAAGCTGCGCGTCTGGGAAACCAGAGCACGGGGTTCGATTAACCGCGGTGCTCGCCTGTCCTGTCTATGCGAAAACAGGCCACGTCATGTAGCCTCAGCAGCTGAATGTGTCGTAACGCCTCAGTGCCGCACAATGACACATATCGCTCCGGCTCGAAACAGTAAAAACTTCAGCTCTTTTCGCCATCTGGCTCGCGTCAGCTGCGTCTCGTGTGTATTGATACCATGGACAGAGCAGGGGAATGTTATAAACAAGCCCTACAATGGTGAGGAAGTCTGCATGCTTGACATCCCACAGATACGGCGATGGTTAAACAAATGTTAAGGGCGAAGTTAGTCACTTTTGCACCTGGCTCTGCATATCGAGGGTGAAGTTTCAAAAAACAAATTTTTACAGACTAAGGTGTATATGGTTATTTGTGTGTATGGTTACCTGCATTATTTTCGAAGTCATTCCAGACTTTCTCGAAGTTTCCAGTCACTTTCTGGAACCCTGTCTCGACCTACGCCCCGAGGCCCCACGCCTAGTACGCAGAAAGATTCGGCATGTCCCGCATCACATGCTTGGAGGAGTCGGATCTAATTTGGGGGATATTCACATCGAAGGCCTGCGCCTGTATTGTAGAGGCTGTATTGCATGTATTGTAGAGGCTGTCCGGAACTGCTCCTGCCACGATCTGATCGGGTCAGGCACCTGGAACATGGGGTCAATGAAACGAAACAGAAATAACCAGCGAAGCCCGAGATATATGTAGTTATTCATACTGTCTTTGACTATAAGTGTCTCCGACCACTGAAGGGCCGCCCTGGGTCTGTTTGATTTGGACTAGAGCCGGTCTTGTCAGTAACGACCACCTCAGGGCTGTGTGATGCAGGATCGAGTGGTGAATATTGTTGCAAGACGGTGTGCATCGGGAGTCCTCCGTTACCGAAATTTACCCCGCTCAGGGACTTTTCTTCGGGGTTTGTGCGGGCGCACGGGCGGGGCTCCCGCCAGGGGATACTTAAGCACACTCCCGGCTGATGCAGGCAGCTTGCCCGCAGATAAACGGGGAGTTGAAAGGATTCCGAATGAAGCGGATAGTGAGGGCAGAGTCAGATTCACGCCTTTGATTTGAATACAGAAAATATATCCGCTGCGTCACCCGTTCCGTCGCCAGGTGATTGTTTTCGCAGCACTTGGTCGGGTTCTAATAGCAAATAAATCGACAAAAGGCGCGCGGTGGTGACTATTTTCTGGTCCGCCGTCTCAATTTAGCTTCAAACTGGCTCAATATTCCAATCACGGTCTATCACACCTCTTTGCTCTCACATGGCAACTGAAGCTTTGAGGAGATGAAATATACGAACTACAACGGCGCCTGGCGTTACGCATATATTGCGCGGCTGGCTGAATACCATCATGCAAATTCATGCATGGACACATACAGCATGTGTGTTATTGGGGCTTTACGGCGCTCTCAGCTGCTGAGGCTATATGGCGTCGCCTGGCTCTCATCCTGGCAGGAGGCGCGGGCACCGCGGGGAATCGAACCCCGTACCTCTGGTTTCCCAGACGTGCAGTGGTTAACGCAGACGCGTTAACCACGGGGGGGGGGGGGTAGTGTAGTGGTCAACGCAGACGCGTTAACCACTACACTACCGACATCCCCCCCCCCCCCCCCCCCGGACACATACAGTACACATGGACTATGTGCAGTACGGGACTGAGTTCCAGCAAAGTTTTGGTTGAAAATTCGAGAATGAATCCATCGCTGCACTAGGGATGTCTTCTTAGTGAGAAGGCAAGGTGAAGGATGTTGCGATAAGAAAGGGCCTGTCTTTCGCCGGGAAAAACCCTTCAGCGCGTGGCTTCTTTCATTGTGAAACGATTGCATTTGCTTGCGTTGCAAGTTGTATCACGCTACTTAAGAATGTGAAAATGGTATCGCAAGCCTATCGCGATTATTTTTCTGAGGTGGTGAAAAGAGCAGCAGCAAATTCGTGGCACGACCTGGGGAGGTTGGCCAGCGATCTACTTCGCCTGACCAGGAGAAGAGCGGTCTTTGAAGGCTCCAAAGTATCGAACACGGTGCAAACTACATACGCAACACATCTTCATTGGAAAGTTATTGAGCCTCCGGGCCCAAACTCACCGTGGCTCTGCATTTCCGTAAATACAAAATAAGCACTCAGAAGCACATCATGGTAAACAATGAAATGGTAGTTTTTGGGAATCGTGTCTAAATCATCATTTTGGTGTCTTTCAAACATTCGGGAAGACTATCTAACTATAAAATGTAATTGCATGACATCAGTTACAAAACACTGCTCAGATTCAGCTATGCTACTAACAGACTCATTGTACTCACGGGTGCCCAGAGCGGCTGTGCGAAATAAATAAATTATAGTCACACCGATAGGGTTCCTTATTCAGGGTTGCACCGCAGTTTCGGTACCCTTACTTTACCAACAAACTTTTGTAACTCAGTTTTGGGTGAGGTTGCATTTAGGTCGACCAAATGCATGTGGAGTCACACAAATTGTCTTGTCTTGGTAGATCGGCCAGCGAGCCTCTCACGACACAAACACGCTCATGGATGTACATGGGCGTCAATGTGTCAAAATGGTTAGAGAGGTCAGAGTCGTGGAAGTCGTCTGAAGGGACAGGATAGAAAAATTTCTCGGATTGGGTCCACTCATGCATCACACGGACTGCGATCTCCATAGACATCCGGTGAGATGGGCCAGCTGAGTCCGTTCAATCGTCAGGTCAAATCGCTCCGCAAAAAAATCATTTCGGCAGATTGAAAGATGAATCAAAGCCAAGGTACCTGTCATCGGATGTTATGTGCTGACATCTCACATTAAAGTCAGGGCTACAAATGTGACATTCTCTGAATGGAACTGGCTATCATCTGCGGGCATATTGTAGGTCTGAGACATATGGTCCCAGAACCAGAACAAAAAAGTGTCGTTAAGAACGTTCTGTTTCTGACTGCCCCTCCCTCAAGCGTCGGGTGTGAAGCAACTGGGGCGTCGGCGTCGCTCGTACGTTGCAGGAGAGCTAACTTTTTAACGGATAATCTTTTGCAGATTTTCACCGCTTTGAGACATTATTGTCGAAGTGCTACGCGATATCTCATTAAAAAATGTGTTGCAACAAACTCGTAAGAAGTTCAGTCTAACAGACATTTTATTAAGAAAGGTGGTATTTAACTTTATTTCGGACAGGCAGGATTGAACTTTAAGGACGTGGCAGCAACGTTCATTACATGTGCCGTGATTCCACTACCCAGGTCATTTCATTCCAGTGCGAGTGGTTATTTGGCATTCAACTCTTTGGCAGGCAGGTCTGTGGATACACCCACCCACACCCACACACGCACACACACACACACACACACACACACACACACACACACACACACACACACACACACACACACACACACACACACACACACACACACACACACACACACGCACACACGCACGCACGCACGCACGCACGCACGCACGCACGCACGCACACACATATATACATAATATATTTATATATGTATATATGTATATATAAATGCACATATATAGATAGCGTCACACCATGCTGTGCCACGATCGTTATGTACCAGGCTCACCCCCTGGCTCGTTGCCAGTTGACCGAGTGGGCTGTAAAGTCAATAGATAGTCGTCCCTACCGTATCCCCTCGGTCAGGGGCGTGGAGTTTTGCGAGATAGGTGGGTGGGATGGGGCTGGGCAGAACATCATGGCTGAATATACCGGCAAAATACGATTTACAAATACAAAGATCAGATTTCATCATGGATTTGAATTACTTTCTTCTCAAATTGGGGTGGGGGAGGGAGACTGCACCCCTGCGTCCAAATGAACAGGGAATTGCACCAGTGTCTTGGCCACAGTGACAACCAAATTGATCAGATTAAAACGCTCAAGTTTCGCCGGCAGCTATCGGAGTCATGCAGCTCTTCTTCGATAGCGGACGAATCGCTGGGAGATAAGATGCACGATAGGAATGCATGGGATGATGTGTTAGAGATCTGGGGGGAAGATTGTTGGCAAGGAATGGTGAGAGCAATGATGCGACGGTTAATATGGCAATTTCTTGGGTGTTCATCGTGATGTGAGCGTTTGTGAAAGCAAAGTTGATATGACATGTAAAATGTGCCACTGACGGAAACAAAGAAGCTGCGTATCCGTACGCTGCATTCACTCAAGCGGGAATGTAAAGAAACCGCCAGTAGCATCCAGAAAAACCGCAAGGCATAGCTGCCTCCCTCTTGTCAGCTATTTTGCAATATTTTGTAATGCGCAAATATTGTGATCTTGATAAAGACGGTTCGCAAGCCCAGAGAGACAAACGTAATAAAGTTGCACTGGCATGCTGAGCACTGAACGTGTCTTGTGCGGAGGTTTATCTCTTGGTGACAACGTTAGAATCAACTGAATGGGCAGAAATAAGCGGGATGCAACTGGATGGCTGCAGCTTACTGGAGCGAACCCGGTTTTAAAGCTTGCATTGATCGATTGCAAGTGCATGGGCTGTGGTTATCTGCCGTCATTGGCTAAAGCGGAGTGACGTCACAGCGTCACATGCCGGTAACCTGGCACGGCCGATAGTTAGATATTCAGTACAGCGTGTTCAAGACATGAAGAAATAGCACTGGGAGTTGGACGGGTCTACGCTCATCCATTCCTCCGTCATCTCCGTCATCCTAGCGAAGACCGGAGTGGGCTTTCGAG